TATATAGCTCATAAATCTGAGAATATTAAAATTCACAAAATGAGTTCCGGCTGGTGCAAAAAAAAACCATGGCACTAAGAAATGGAGCAGTCAAGTTTCAGCTATCCAATTCGAACTGTTCTAGAGCTGTAACAGCAGTTTGTAAACACAGAAGAGAGGATGGACACATTACCGACTGGATAATTAGCTGTGGCATGCAGTGATCCAGCAGATACCTTCTCTGGTATGCAACGAACGGCATAAAGCACAGTCTGACACGTACTGAATCTAGTGAGCTCATCTGTCGTTTAAATACACATTAAACAATAAAAATGGCGCTAAATCCACAAAAATACGCGAAATACTGCTTAGCAAAGTAGAACCGAGAGATTAAGCTCGAAAAGCAAAATAAAACCAAAAAAATGTTCAACAGACAGTGAATGTCATCGGTATCGAACAAACCGCAAAATACGATCATTCAAAAGTAACAATATAAAATGTAGTTAATAACTGAAACATTGGAACATGAACAAATTTGAAAAACGAAAAACTGAGAAAAAAGCTTCATACCTCACAAAAAACAAAAAAAAAAATCGAGGATTTTTAAACAACTTCAACGATTCAAAAAATGCAAAAAAAAAAACATTACAAACGCGGTGACTTCAACACAGAGTATTCTCAATGAGGTTTTCAAAAAATCGAAGAACGAGAGTAGAGAAAGTAGCTGAATTCGCAACCGGATTAACGGAGGGCACCTCTTGAAGAACCAAACTTTGAAAACAAATATGGCGCATCATCGTTATCTTTGCGCATTTTGGATGGCGATGGTGAACTGGTCGGTGAAATCCTTGCCGTCGGTTTTACAAACCCTATTCGATCGTCATCAAATGCCAATTCTCGATCGTACCTAAAAGCATCCGGGTAGTGCCAAAACTTTTAGCAGGATTCACAGGAGTTGCATCTGGATGTGGGCGCAGACCAGCAGTTCCACCAACACCGACTGCACCCATACATGCACAAACATAGATAAATACACATACACAAACACACACACACAAACAAACACTCACATATCGACAGGGAACCTTCCTGATACTGTCAAACTGATGACTATTCTGTAGCTTATAATCTTATGAACTAATGTGAAGATGAGAAAGTACCTCTAAGCAGGTGTGTGAAGAAAAAAAAAAAAACCTAATATGAGAAATCATCACATTTGATGTCGCCTTCGTAACTCAGATGA